CCAGCTATGTTGGAGTTTTAACTACCTGTAATTACTCAGGCTGCCAGAGAATTTCAGGAGTATTAATGAACAGTTTTAAGCAAAAATTCCCAGTAATTTTATTTTTCGTGTTTGTTTCCAGTGTTCTAATCATGTAAGATCTTCTCGGGTCTTTGACTGAAGTTACTCGTTATATGAGATTACTATGAATTCTTAATCAGCTTCTCCATTTTATCTCATACCTGCGATCCCTGAACTCATTTCTTTTTTTTTTTACAGATATTTTGATTGGGTTTTGGCAGTACAACCACTTTGTTAGCCAGGAAACCTGGAACTGTCAGTTCATCCTGTGACTTTTTTTCCGAATATTGGTCACAATAGCATAACGTAAATTAAATGGGTTAAAGGGATCAGCCTGCTCTAGCATTTAGTCTACAGTAATTTCTTGTAGAAACCGCCAGTGCTTCTGCAGGTGCATAAATTTTCCTTCTGTCCCACTGTTCACTGTTTTGCTGCAGTTCTGTATGCCTGGTCATTATATGTAGCTAAGTAACTGAAGCTGATATAGCAGTCTCAAAACAAACAAAAACCATTACAGAATGAGTGGAATTAATCTTTCAGACCTAAGAGATTTTGTTCATTGATGAGATGTAATACCTGAAATAACTTATCCCAGTTTGATTTTTAAAAAAGGAGGGGGGGAGGGGAAGAATTAGAGTAGCAACATTTTCTTTGACCAATGCTGTGGAAATATTTTCCAAGAATTTCTGTGCAGCCTCATTAGAATATTTGTTAATTATTTTTGACTTCTATCTTTTCCAATTTTTGATTGAAGTCTTGCTGTCACAGAATGCAATTAAGGTTTTTAATGTAGTTTTCCCATCAAGGATTTTTTTTTTTCTTTAATAATTGTCAATCTGTATAGAGAAGAAAGAATAAGTCTTGAATAGTATATAGTGTCAAACTTGAATTATTTTTTAATTTGAGAAGGGTTAGTTTACATGTTAATTAGAATTTTAGTTTTCAGCTGCTGTATTAGAATGTGTGAAATGTTGAAGCCATCCAGTTCTAGTGCCCAGACTGAAATGTATATTGAAGTCGTTGCTGTGGAGTAGCATGGTCCTAAATGTCAATACTGTGTTGTAAAGTTACTGAGAAAATTCTCAAGAATTAGTTTTTGGGTTTTACTAATTGTTTAAATATTGTTTCTGATACACATGAAAACAGGCCACTAGTTATGTGAGACCTAAACGCAAGCTTTATTTTAAAACCTCTCTTAGCTTTGTGGTAGTAATGAACAAGCTCTGGCTTCTAGAGTTGTCCTGGACTAAACCTTTGTACGGGCACGTGTTTCCCAGGGTGGGGAGACACACAGGAAGGCCAGCCAGCTCTGCAGTGTACTTACCCATCCGTCCCACAGAAGCCCATCTGGTGGTCCCTCACCTGCAGTAAGATTTTTGAAGTGAGCTTTTAGAGGGAATTGCAATTTTTGGGTTCAGTGTGATCCTGATTTTACCACCATTCTCTTCCTCTATTTTAAGAACACGGACGAGAGATGATATTTTGTCCAGGCGTGAAAGATCAAAAGATGTTAGCCCACCCAGCAGGTGGTCCCCATCCAGAAGAAGGTCTCGAACGCCCATTAGGAGGAGGTCTCGTTCACCCCTTCGACGTAGCCGATCTCCAAGAAGGCGGAGTAGGTCTCCTCGGAGGAGGTAAAGCATTTTCTTAATGTATTTCATAAATACTCCTAAAAAAATAAAGATTGTAATCTTATTTGTAAAAAAGGCAGTGCCTTTTTTTGTCCACATTTATATACACTTGAATTCATTTTGTCCTCCATGAATTCATTTGTTCTATGGTTTGGAGTCGCTGTGTACCTTTATGTGTTATGAATAGGTTTTCTCCTTTTCTTCAAGAAACCAAACCCCCCAAACCACTCTTATTGTTACCAGGGATAGAGGCCGAAGAAGTAGATCTCGCCTTCGAAGGAGGTCCAGGTCACGTGGTGGTCATAGACGTAGGAGCAGAAGCAAAGTTAAAGAAGACAAATTTAAAGGAAGTCTTTCTGAGGGTATGAAAGCTGAACAGGAGTCTTCATCAGATGAAAAGTAAGAATTTATTTCTAACTTGCGCTGATTATCTGAAAACACAGAACACCAGTACTGAGAATGAGCGGACATTTGTCTTCATAGCGTAGTTTTTGGGTTGTCACCTAAAACCTTAATTGTGTTTTAGTGCTTGTGATCTTGTCAATTTACTGTTGGGGTGATCTGAAAAAGTTTGGGAATATGCAAGAAACATCAAGACCTGTTGGCCAGTGGGCAGACCTGAGGGGGTGATAACATTGTTAGGTTTCTAAATTCAGCTTGATCAGTAGTCAAAAGTATTAGGTCTATTTCCTCAAGCTTATTGCTTGAGGAAAAACTGTAGTGGCTGAAAGGTTTAATTGCTGTCAGCAAATTGTTTTAGTATTTGCTAAATATTTACTTAATCCAGTTGCACGAGAGTATGCAGTCTTAACGAAATTATTAAGGAAGAAATATGCCGGAGTGATCATGAACAAGGGTTTTTTTGTTTGTTTTTTTCTCTTCAAAAACAGTTACTGTGTATTTCATTTTTAACTGCAAACAACTAACAACGAGATACCAAAAGATAAATTTTCTCTCTAAGGAGATGTAAATACACGCACTGGCATTTAACACACCTTTGCTGTCTGAGTCAGTTGAACAGTTGCTGTTTAGTATATTGTGTGCTTTCCACGCCAAAGACCTGCATTTGGTAAAATTCAGTAGATAATCTTGTGTTTATGATGTTATATAAAATATAATTATATTTTTATAGTCTTGAAGACTTTGATTTGGAAGAAGAGGATGAAGAAGCAGAGATAAGACAAAGAAGATTACAGCGGCAAGCAATTGTTCAGGTATGTGGTTGTATTATCACGTGGGTTACAGGAAGTACTTGTATGTTTTTCGTGTAAAATGTGATAAAAGACGGCTCTTAGCCTAATACTGCGTTGTGGTGGTAATTAGTATTACTGTATTTTTTCCACTTAACTTATTGTAAAAGTTAGTTCTCAGTTAAACTTTACACTTCTGTTGCAACAGCATTGCTTTTAAGACTGAAGCAACTCTTCTGTGAGTCGTTTTTGTGCTGCAGTTAAAACATTCTCTGAGAGTCCTATGATGTGTTAAAAACGTTCTTTGATTGTCTTAATTGGTAGGTTTTCTTCGTAGCTGTATCATTGATATCATAATGTCAATATAAGTTACATATCAATTAACGTAGCTGGTCAGTTTGTCTCAAGTAGAGGTTGTCCCTGTCCATTTCCAAAAACTTCTTAAAGGCACAGATGTGGGTTTCCCCTTCATGAATGTGGATGATGTTTTCAGTTAGGCGTGTGCATTCCCATGAACTTCTTGCTTCTGGTAAGAAGGTGACAGTGGTGACAGGTAACACATGGTTGAGACCCCTGGAAGGGAGCTGTGCCCAAAGGGGATGTAATTCTACAGCACACATCGGGTATCTTTTTTTAAAGTTGGGGTTTGGCACGTGGTTAGAATATCGTAAGCAAAATGCTGTAGCATATTTACTTGATGTTTAGTTGTAAAAGCACCAGTTATAACGTGTTGCTTATTTTAAGCAGCACTAAAAATACTGTTCGTCATTTGACTTTTACACAAAGCCCATTGTAAAATCCTTCAGAACTCATGACTGAGCAAAACCATATGAAGTAAATCAGTCTTAAAACGTGGTTACACTTGTCATTGGTCTGTACACAAAGCAAATTCCAGAGTTTTATTCCCTAAATGAGAAACCCCTGCTTGTATTATTGAATAGTTCAATCTTGGAAACCGAGTGATATCAGCACTTGCTCATTTAGATTTTTAACTTTCGGGAGAGGAAGTGACGATTGTAGAACTTCATACTACTTAAGTTAAAAAAAAATAATTTGTGAAGGTGTTGACTTGAACATTTTAATGCATCTGAAGTTTTTCAACAAGAATGAATGAATGAACAGGATTTTCAATTGAAATAAAAAACCTGACTGAAAACTATTTTTCTGTATCATAACACTAGTAAAAATGAGAAAGATTCTAGGATATACCATGCAAAATAATTAATTTTTCTTTAAAGGCTTTATTTCAATACTTGTGTGCCAGAATGGTTTAGTAATAAATCTGTCATTACTGACATTTTGTCACGGATAAGGAAGTAGTTAATGTTCAATAAAACCCACTTTTTACGGAAAGGCAAAAGCCTAACGGACACACATGAAATTTTGAGTCTTATTTTAAGGTCGAGGCTGTGGTGCATTGTGGCAAAATGAGTTTTCAAAAGCTGTATCCCATTCTGCAAATAATCTGTTGCCTTTAGAGATGTAGGTGATTATAAAAGCAAAGATTAAGGTTTAGCACAAACGATTGAAAGGGAGTATAAAAATGTTTAGATTGTGGTAAGCTGTGATGGTGACATTCATAATTAAATTTCTTTTTAGAAATACAAAGGCCAGACAGAAGACAGTAATATATCCGTACCATCTGAACCAAGCAGTCCTCAAAGTAGTACGCGTAGTCGCTCAAATTCACCTGACGACATCCTAGAAAGAGTAGCTGCTGATGTTAAGGAGTACGAGCGGGAAAATGTGGACACGTTTGAGGCATCAGTAAAAGCCAAGCACAACCTCATGACAGTTGAACAGAACAACGGTAAGAATCTGAAATCTCACTGTGTAATGCAATTTATGAAAGCTCAGAATTTTGCTTAGTTTCTTTGTACGCCTCCAGACTTGGAAGTAGGTTGACTTTTTGGACAGAATTTGGGAATGTTTCCACGAATGTTACGGTAGTTAAAACATAGTGTTAAAATAAAGCTTGCTCATTGAGGAGGATAATATGAATGGAACATGTTCCCTATATTTCTAATAACTCTTAGCCCAACTCATGCTGTACGTTTGGAAGAGCAGATAATGATGATAGACTTTACAGTTAAGAATTGCCGTTTTTAACTTCCAAATGTTTCTTTTCACTTACACATGTTGTTTTCTTAGAAGCTTAAAAGAGTACTAGTCTTATTTTGGGGCAGGTTAGAACCCATGTCCATTTTGTCCCTTGGTCAGAACCACTGTGTCAGAAGAACATAGGTGAGTTTGTACTCATTTAGAATGACTGAGGCTTTTGAGAGTCATCGCTAGTAAGTCCGTTTTGGCGGCATAACTTCTTGCTGAAGAAATGGCTATTTCCTCCTCTTCCTCCCTGCACATAATCTACGGTACAGCAATAATGAAATTAAATATGTCTTGATATCTAACCTGCCTTGTGCCTGCTGTGCCAGAAGGATTATAGAGCATCTCCCAGTGCACCCTGTAATATTGACAGTCTGCTGGGTTTGGTGGGGTTTTTTCATCTTTCAGAAGTGGATTGCTGTACACCTTCCAGGTAGTCAAAGGTGTGTCTAGTTGCTCTGTGGTCATACTTGAGCTAGCTGTAACTACTTCAGTTCCTCTTTACAGTTTAATTGCAACAGCACACTGTTTAGCAAGGGCTGTCAATCTGCCCAACCCCTCAGGAAACAGTTGGACAGTTTGCTTGTGTTTCATGTCATGCGCTGAATGTATCCTTAGGGGCTGAATATGCCGTCTTTTAGTGGGTGCTTTGCTTTGAAGTAATAAAGCTTAATCTCTTTGGGACTGCTGGACTGCTCTGTAGTTTGTCTTGGTGTTCCCTTGAGCAGTATGTTTTCAGGCTGTTCTCCTGCAGTGTAGGTGGAAAAAACAGTGTTATGCACTTTTCCTTTGTTTGTGTACAAGTTTAGACTTAGTCTTCTTATGCGTAACAGGCAGTATCTTTTTCTTTTTCCCCAGGCATGTACTGCTTTCTAATTTTGACCACTGAAGTGTATGAAAATGTAACTGTTAACTACATAGACATTTTTAGATATGAAAAAGGGTTGTTTTTTGAAACAGATCAATTACACTCAAATGTGGGAATTCTCATAGATTGGTAGGATTCTGGGTTTGGAGGTGGCTGTAACACAGATGGAAGCAGTGGATCATCTTTCTTTGTAAAACCATTTTTTATTTACATCCTGGCCTCATCTAGGGCCAGGATGTAACTTGCTAAGGAACTAGTTAATAACTTACTGTAACCCAGTGCAAGTGTGAGTAACTGGAACTAAAAAGAAAATTTAAGGAAGCTGCTGGAAGGAGTCTATAACTTGAAACATCAGTGTCAGCATGATGGACGAGAGTCTTTGATGCTGCCAGAAGATTTCAGTCTAGTTACTTTGTCTGGAGGTGGCTGGCTATACACATCATGAGACCTGAAGCATCTGAGGCTAACCGTTTGTTTTTCTCCCTTGCTTAATACCCTAAGGGTAGTGTCTGTGATTTGCCACGGCCATGAGAAGCACTTCGTAACACATGAGAGCATGTTATGAAACAGTTTGAAGTTTAGTTGCTTTCACTAACATGTACTACTTTTTTTTTAACTTTAATAATTTCTTTGCTTTTATCTTATCAACCAAATAAAATATCTTTGGGACTTTAAAGGTGATTAAAAGGTGAGAAAGGGATAATCTTGCTCATGTTAAAAATGTTTCTCTTAAACATGATTGTTAACGTTGTCTTGGACTAAAAGCTGCACACAAGATCCTTTTTGACCTGCTTGAAGAAAACATTTTCTTCTGGGGTTTTACAACTTTGGGTTTTAGTAGAATACCTTGTGATTAGCAGAAAAGCGTGAACTTTTGTATTGAAAACATGGCTGTATTTTTTTTATATATACACACAGTAACTTTGTGTTTGGTTATATATATGTATATGGTTATTGTAGGGATCACGTAAGTATGTGCTTGTTTCTTTCTGCTGTGTGGATTATTTGAAAACTCTTACACAAAATTTTTCAAGGAGGTATAAATTTTAATGCTTTGAAGAACTTAACCAATCTGAGTTTTGTATTTCTGTAATGTAAAATTATATTTGCTAGAAACATTAGTAGTGCTACCTGTTTGCCAGCATACTGATCTTAGATTGTACTGTGGAAAAAAAAAAATGCTGGTAACAGAGTTGTTAGTTTGTCATCTTTTTCATGTTGAGTAATCTAAATTTCATTTTAAGGTTCAGCTCAGAAGAAACTGCTAGCTCCTGATATGTTCACAGAATCAGATGATATGTTCGCTGCATACTTTGATGTAGGTAATTCTTGGAGATTAAATGTGTAATTTTTTTGCTTGATTTTGGTTAGAGTTACTATCACTTGAGGTTTGTGGGAACTTTGATTTGTAAAGTCATATGTAACTGAGTGGATAGTATATTCTGAATCTTTTGATCAGCCAAGGCAAAGTAGTTCTTAATTAGTATTTCAGTGAGAGAAAACCTGGTGAAATGAGTGGAAGTTTTACGAGATTAAGCAATTGGGGAATTCGCCTGCTGTTTGAAAAGGACGTATAATGGCACGTGGTAACAAACCTGTTTGTAAGCTAAGCTTCATGTTAGTGTTACCATGCTGTACTGTTCTAAATACATGCTTTTTTCAGAGATTCATGTATGGTTATTTAAAAAGTGTCTGTGTAAGGTGTTTTAATTTGCTGGTGGTGCTGTGTTGGAGTAATGTGGTGGTTTCTTTGGTGTTTTTTTTTGATGAAGAGATATATTTCCTGGTTCTACTTTTGCACTATTCCAGCAACTTTTCTCTGAATGTGCTGAAGTGGCCTGCAGATATTGGCAGTCCGGTGACTAGTTTTGAGACTTTACTTGCTGTTCTCTCTAAATCTACCTCATTGCTGCTGATGCACACAACACTGAGAAATAAGTCAAGACAACAATTTTCTTCTTAACTTAGAAAATCTCCAGTTAATTTTGGTTTATGGCAGATACAATCTTTAGTTATGACAGAAGCATTGGTGACAAAAGCCTGCCATGCTGTCACTCTAGTAACACTGTAATAATAATAATAAAAACAACAAAAAATCAAACTCCCTTTGACCTGGAAAAAGAGAAATACTTGAAGGATAGTGGGGGTGTGTGCATTTTTAAAAATGTGAGAGTTACAAGTAGGGATTTCTATGGCTTGTAAGTGAGCAGTTCCCCCTTCCAGAAACTGTGGTTCAATTGGAGATATGCTTTACTAGTCATAGATTTGAATTTGTGATAATATATTGCTGACTCTGTTAAGAGATGTCAATAGCAATTGTAGTAATTTTGTGTTTGTAAGTATAATAGCATGAAATCTGTGAAGTGACATTGAATGAACAGAAATTCAAGGCTTAAACAGATACAATTTCCTCGCAAATTGCTAGACTTGCTATGAACATACTGTAAGTAAAAAGTTTTATTCCAGTGGTCCAAAATGTGCATTCTGACATGACTTGTATAAATTCCTTGTGGCTATTAATTGAAACTTTGCCCATTTATGTTTAATAATTCTGTTGGTTGGTCTCATCCCCTTTCCTTGTATTAGTCTTTAGATACTGGTATGTAAATAGCATTTTCTGTTCAGTAGCTTCTCCTACAAGATAAGTGTGTTTGCACTGTGGAGAGGAAGAGTGTTTCAGTAGGGAAAAAGGGGTTTTGGTAGGTAAACATCAAGGAAAAACATAGAGCACCTGAGCAAAGCTGTTAGTTTTCTTTTTATTTCAGAGTGCTCGTCTAAGGGCTGCTGGATTTGGAAAAGACTTCAAAGAAAACCCCAATCTCAGGGATAACTGGACTGATGCAGAAGGCTATTACCGTAAGTTGTGTTTGTGATTTCCAAGGACAGCTAGAATGAGGGTGCTGAATGGAAAAGATCCTCATGTCAGAGCACTGAAACATTATTCTAATGTAAATGTACCGCAGTGCCCTCACTGAGTGCATAATGTGATGGATGAAGTGAGTGCACAGGTGTTAACCTTCACAATGAAAAGACTCCAGACTTACAGAATCACAGTGTTTTCCCCATAATTTCCACAATAGGTGATACACAACATTGTACACTATGAAATTAAGTGATTTTCTGTTTATCCTGTTTTTCTGAATTATACAGAGTGGTTTATTTTTCATAAAAAATTTCATTGCGTATGTCACTCATAACTTTAAATTGCTTGATTTTTATCCTTCAGGTGTTAATATAGGTGAAGTTCTAGATAAACGTTACAATGTCTATGGTTACACTGGTCAGGGAGTCTTCAGTAACGTAGTGCGAGCCAGGGACATGGCAAGAGCAAACCAAGAAGTAGCGGTTAAAATCATCAGGAACAATGAACTTATGTAAGTTATGTTTTTGTTTAATAATAATAAAGCATATGTAACAGTTGGAAGTTTTTCATGATGTGATTTGAATCTCCCTTTGTTTCAAGTGAAGTAACAGATTACAGCTGTGATTCCTGCCTTTTCTGCTAATATGAGCCAGATAATGGGAAGCACTTGAGGATTATGTATCCACACTTCTTTACAGCTATCACAGGAGAAGGGTACTTGCATTTTCATCAGGCACTTTCTCATTTGCAAAACCCCAAGGAACAAGGTTACAGTTAGTTATGAGGCCTGCCCAGCCCCGAGATGGGAGTTGTGGACTGTAAAAACCTTGTTTTGACGGACCAAACTGGTTTGGCAGGCTATGGGTTGGATCCTAATAGATCATCTGCAACTTAGAAAAACTTCTGTACACTAATTATTTTTGTATATTCTGTATATGTTTGCATGTCTATAAGATAAATAAAAAGGGATGGGAGTCGCCTTGTTGAAATAATTAAGTAGAGGTCTTTCAGGATGAGTGAACATTAACAAGTACCATCTGTTAAAAGTACATTGTGTGAGGACTTGTCCGTAATAGTAATTTTCAGTATCTGCTGCAGTGTTCCTACAGTCATCTGTTATGTCCTCTTCCATTAAAGAAAATTTCAATGAAAATATTTTCCATGCATTTTACCTTGGAAGTTAAAAGTTTTATTGTTGTTTGTATAACTGGGTTATTTTGAGTTACATGGCTAGATATCTAGAAAAGACGGGGTTTTTTTAAAAATAAGGGAGGGGGTGATAAGCTGTTTCAGTTTGGTATGTTGTATAGGTCATCAGTTTGGATGTGTACTTGACTCTATAGTCAGTTTAGCTTAAAACTTTTTTTAGTAATGTATGTGGTTAAGTCCTTTTTTTAAAAAAAGTAAGCTCCCATGAGTGCAGTTTGAAACGAAAGTGTCGTGTTACAGGAGGAAATCTAATTTTAGCTTTACACGCAGCCAGGAGGGAGGAGGAAAGGGTAAGTAGGTTACAAAGGCACAGTGAAGATCAAAGAATTAAATAAACTTACCTGATGTGTAGGCACTGACAGCAAACCACTGTTGTGATTTTTTTAAGCCGTGGTACATTAAGTAATGACAAGACGCTTCTCATTTCTGGATAATTCTAACTGCGTAAGTGAATGTCTAGATTTAGAAAAAGTATTAGAATTACACTGCTTTTGGTTTATAATCATATTTCTTTGTTTTCAGGCAAAAAACTGGCCTGAAAGAACTGGAATTTTTGAAGAAGCTCAATGATGCAGATCCTGATGACAAGTTTCATTGTCTGCGGTTGTTCAGGCATTTCTACCACAAACAGCATCTCTGTCTGGTATTTGAGCCACTCAGGTAAGATGACAAATGTTTGGAGCTCTCTATAAAAAGTAAAGTACTACTGAGTGTTCTTTACCTTTCTGGTTTTGCCTGTTGTTTTGATACCTTGTTCTAGTGCCAAGATTCAAGAATGCAAGGAAATTTGGCGGGGGCGGGGAGAAGAATTACCTGGAGGCACAAATCCACAGACTACTGAACTCTTTCTGATTTACTTAAATCATCGTTGTGAACTTTCTGCCTGGAAAATATTAGAAACAAAATAATGTGTTGTTAAAGATAGTTCATCTCACCAGTGCTGCTCTTAATGATTGTGTGTGTGTGTCGCAATATTTTTATTAGTTTTCATAATTCTTTATTTTAAGGGTTTGGATTAAGAATACATGCCCTGAGAGGCTCCGAGTACATAGATAACAACAACCTAAGGAGGAAAATTGTTACAGTGGTTTCTTTGCACGCTTGCTTTTTCTTTAAGTAGTTAAGCTCTTTTGACAGGTTAATTGTAGACACTGTTTTATGCTGAATCTGGAATTGCCTTAGTTCCTGTTCCTGCTTAGAGACATCAGTTGTTTGTATCCTTAGTTTTCTGTGTCATATTTAAATTTTTGCGAAGGTAAGTTATATGCTGAAGCGATGCAAATTTAAGATGTTACTATTGTATGTTCATTAGTAAGTCATACAACAAATTATTTTTCTGTGCTGCACTATCTCTATATAACACATTTGTACATTATTTATATCCAGTGATGGTTTTCCCTGGAATTGTGGCCCTTTGCTGTTTAAGTCACAAAAAACCACCTCCTCAACTTGTATCTTTTCCATGCTTCCTTTTTTATTTGTTTCTGAAGAAAATGAGTACAAAAGCTGTATAGTTGTTAAGGAAATGCTGTTCATGTGCAAATAAATCCTCTCAAATTAATCTTTATTTAAAATGTGTTCTGAACTAAGCAAGTAATTATACAGTATAGGATAGCTGCAATTGACCAGCATTTTACTCTCATTGTTGTAGCTAACAGAGTGGTACATATTGTAAGTTGAATGCTGCTTTCCTCCAAAAATGTCTAAAGCTAACCGGTTTGTTCAAGTTTGTCTTACAGTTTAGGAGGCCATGATGTTTTTCTTTGCTAAGCTCTTTTCTATTCTTTCTCCCTTTCTTTCTTTTAACAGTATGAATTTACGAGAGGTGTTGAAGAAGTACGGGAAGGATGTTGGACTCCATATTAAAGCTGTGCGTTCCTACAGTCAGCAGCTGTTCCTGGCTTTAAAACTTCTTAAAAGATGCAATATCCTACATGCAGATATTAAACCAGATAATATTTTGGTAAGTGATAGTAATTGAAACTTATTTTGCACAGTCTGTAGTGTAAAATTAAGTATTGGAAATTAATAATCATTCTGTTAATTTAAGTGAAGTCAAAATTTACTTTAACTGGAAATGTTATGGATTCATATTTTGATATGAAATGCTGTCATGGTATAAATAGTAAGTAAGAAATATAATACAGCATCTAAATAAAATCTTTTATAGTACAGTCTTTCTCAAACCAACCTGCATCCACCTGTATCTTCATAGAAAGCAGGTCTTCCAAAGTAAGACAATACACTTTCTTAGGAGAAATAGTGGAACTTTTTCCATCAGTGGTTGAAAAATGTTCTTGCTTTCTGCAAAATGGAAGGTTGTTTGAGTCTGGGTGGAGATTTTATTTGTGTAAAGGAGATTATGGGGAAAAGTCCTTAATGCCTTTTTTCTCTTCTGTTTCCATTAAACTTTCTGGTTAGCAGGGCGTGAGAGCTACATCAGAGGAATCAAACATGTTTCCTTTGGTTTTCTTAGTGGTCATCCCAGTGACAAACTCAGATTTTTATTTTATTTAAAATGTTCTCTTCTTGCCATCACAAGCAGTAAAAAATACTGTGTAAGCATGAGATACATGAATAATATGCTGCTTTATGAATGGTACTCTGGATTCTAGAGTTGGAAGTCTAAATTGATACAATTTCAGTATCTGGAATGAAATCCAGGTCCAGCAAAAGTAGTTTGGTGAGGGAAAAGTACATGAAACAGACCTTTTTTGTCTTTCTTAGAATCTGAATACATTAACCGTTGCTTTCAAGTTAAGACAGTTTTACGATTTCCTTGGAATACAGAGAGGAAGGGTTGAAATATGGGAAGAACTTCCAGTTCAAAGGCTGAACGTTTCTCTTATCTCCAACTGAAATGTATTGTCGCTTTCGCAGTGCTGTTGGCAGTTCTGTCTACAGATAGCGCTAATGGATATTTATGTTTTAACTTTCAGGTGAATGAGTCTAAAACGATATTAAAGCTTTGTGATTTTGGATCAGCTTCGCATGTTGCCGATAACGACATCACGCCATATCTAGTCAGTAGATTTTATCGAGCTCCAGAAATCAGTAAGTACATTTGGATTGGCTGCATGTGTCATAAGCAGTCGCAGGACGTACCAGTGAGAATGTGACTTGGATCTACTCTCTGTTTGGTCGTAGCAAAACATCGCTCTGGAGATGATGGCGGTCAAAAATTCAGACTTTGAAAGCATGCTTGTGTGACTCCTCAGGGTGTTGGTGGTCAGCTCAGTGAGGACAGGGAGAAGTCATTCTGAGTGGTTATGGTTAGGTTTTAATTTAGAGGTATGGTTCTGACTTCCTATTTTTAACTAACTCAGTTCATGCAGATTAGTTTGGGTGTTGGGTAAAAGCCTCCCTTTCTGAAATTGGGATGCTGTAGAAGGTAAAGGTTTGCGTCCTTCTTTCATGGTGACTTCTTATTCCTAAGAGGAGGAGCACCGATACAGTTTACAAATCAGAATTTTTTATCTGTCCAGTTTTGTGATGATGTGTCTTTCAAGGCTGCCTTTATGGAATTAACTGGAATTGCTCTGTTTCAGTTATAGGAAAAATCTATGACTATGGTATAGATATGTGGTCTGTAGGCTGCACGTTATATGAACTTTATACAGGAAAAATACTCTTTCCTGGCAAAACCAATAACCATATGTTGAAACTAGCCATGGATCTCAAAGGAAAGATGCCAAACAAGGTGAGAGAAATAATTATATGATTTTAATTAATTTCTGAAACTGCTATAATGAACAGTAGAACAGACTCTCTTTTTTCTCCCTGAATTCTGTTTATCATATACATCTTCTCTTAACCGCAAATAAATACCAGACATTGCTCTGACTGTGTAATTTGTATTGATTTAAAATCTTACAAAGTGAAAGTATACAGCTTCTTTTTCATAGACTAAGTATAAAGGGAATGCAGAAACCTTCTAAGCACTGACCTGAAAAAAAATACGTGAGTCAATGGAAGATACTGTGTCCTTTTTCAACTGGTTTGAACTTTAATTTTTTTAATTCAATCTAGACATTTCTTACTGTCCTTTTGGTGTATTTTTCATTAGTATTAAATTATTCATGTTGTAATAAGTTAGTAGACATTGATGCTAGTTGTGGATTTGTCAGACACGGAGAACTTGCCTGAAACTCTTGCCTCTCCCTTGTTTTCCAGATGATTCGAAAAGGTGTGTTCAAAGATCAGCACTTTGATCAAAATCTCAACTTTATGTATATAGAAGTAGATAAAGTGACAGAAAGGGTAAGTCCTCAATGTGTCGACTAACCTATTACTTTTTTGAAGCTTTCCTATATTGTGGTCTTTCAAATGTATCTTGCCATCTTAATTGAAAATAAGATTTTTATAAAGTGTTAGGACATCCTTTTGCAGCAGTATGGACAGCTTACATAGTCCTAAACTGGCAACAGAGATTTTTTTCCTACAATTTAGGTAAACGTTTGAGAGAAATCTAAGTTTAATCTTGGTTAGGTATACAGGGCGTCTCCTTACAGGGCGTAATCTATCCTCAAGTTACTAATAAAAGGAATTCTGCCTTCATTTTAGAGAAGGATGTCCAACGTCAGTATGATGTGCTTCTGTTGTAGGAGGCCACTGTTACTTTCTGTATCATTTTAACATAGTATATTTACTAAGGATCACAACATTAGCAGTCAGATATGGGAACTTTCCACATGGAATTCGATGTTCTCAGTCAGCCGGGGTGTCAGGGTCTCGTGTGCGCCTGCTGCTGGTGAAAGACGCGCCCGGCCTGCCCCTGGCAGTGTGCTTCCCGCTCTTGCCCTTTGCCCCCCTGAGGGTTTCTGAGGCCTCGTGGTGAGGAAGGGCATTGCTGACCAGGCAGGACAGAGCCCTGCAGCAGAGCTGCTGCCGAAGCTCTGTGAAGGGATAGGGGGTTCGTGCCTTACACCTGTTCTACAAGGTTGCTATTTTTGTATTTGTAGGAGAAAGTTACTGTTATGAGCACCATTAATCCAACCAAGGACCTGTTAGCAGACTTGATTGGGTGCCAACGACTCCCTGAAGACCAGCGTAAAAAAGTACACCAGCTAAAGGACTTGTTGGACCAGATTCTAATGTTAGACCCAGCTAAACGGATTAGCATCAACCAGGCTCTGCAGCACGCCTTCATCCAGGAAAAAATTTAAACCAGATGAAGAAGTTCAAAGGGTTTGAGTAATTAAGATACAAAGACTGAAGAAATTTCACAGCAGTTATTAATGTATATAAACATAAATATTTCCCCTGCAAAGTTGAGGAAGAAATGATACATTTGAATTAACATCAAGGCTGATATTTCTTTTAGAAATGTTAGAGTAATTCTGTTTTGTGTCTTATGTGAAAATTTTCACTGTAGAGCTGTTTTAATTGCCAAGACTGCACAGAAGTACAATGCTAATGTATATGGTTGCAGTTCGTATATATTATAAAGAGAAAAAAGCATCTGTTATAAAAAAAAAAAAAAAAAAAGAAAGAAAAAAAAGAGCAGTAATACTGGGTGGTTGATTTGTTTTTAGCAGACTTGGCTTCATTTTTGTCTTTAAAAAATGGCCAGCATAAATGCTGTTTATATTCACATTTTCCTAGGTGTGTGTGTGCAGGCCACAGCAGCATGCCCTTGGTGTAGTCAGTGCCGAAGGGGGTCTGTTCCTTCTTGAGCCTGCCCGCAGGGATGGTCTCCTCTTTTAAAGCAGGTTGTGTACAACTTTCAGTACACTGAAGGTAAGCTAACCCATCAACATCACCGGTGTTTAAGCTGTTATTTTACTGGAACAACTGACAAATGAGAGACAATAGCATTGTGGCAGAATTCCCTGCATGTTTGATAAATGATCTTGTTTTATTTTCTGGCATTGCAACCGTGGCATAGTTACAACTTCTGTTCTGTTCATCCCATTTAAAACTTTGAGAGTGCGCACTTGATGGATAGAGCGCCTTCAGTGTACTGTTTCTTATTACTTTAATTTTTTTTAATCAACTTGCTATAGACTTTGTATACATTTTGTTAAATACAGTTCACTATGACATAGAACCAATACTTACAGAAGAGTTTTCATTTAGTAATTACGTATGTTGGAGTCTCATTCGAAAGACCTTATATCTAAAGGATAGATAGACAACATAATGAAATTTTTAACTATTTGTATGTCATTTTGAAAGTGTACTGCTTTATGCTAAAAGTGTTTCATTTGTTCATTGTTTTCATTATTTGTGATCATGTTGTCTTTCAATACAGGCATAAACCTTCCACTCTTGAACAAAGCAGCTGCTTTTTAAAAGCGGTAATTGCTTCTTTACCTTTTATTTCTTTTGTAAATGAAGCTTTTCTTTAAGAAATGTGACTTTAAAGTGTTGTCTCTTGCATAAAACAGTTGACACTTACTTACTGTAAAGTGAAGATTGTTCTGCTGCATGTAAAGTGGACCATGCAGATTTCTGTATGTTTTCAGTATGCATCATTAGATAATAAAGTCTTTTGTGAACAAGGCATTTGTAGCCATTTTTAAAAGAATCTGTCTTCAGTGATGGTAAATCAGGTAATTCGTAAGAACCGCCCCTGCATTTCCTATTAATCATTTAATTAAAGGGATTATTAAAAGTTATGATCTTTGGGAGAGCTATAGGCTATGTTAATTAGATACGTAATTATCACTGCTTAAACAGAAACAAAGCAAAAAACCCTACAGATACTGTCTGTCTGCTTTCATTGTAATGAAATTATTCCTGTAGGACATGGGGTTAAATTCAGGCTTTAACTAATGTTTGTGCTGTTTTTCTCACTTTTCCTTTTGATGGTGCTGAAAGAGAAAAAGGAAAGCGAGTCACAGGCCACTCAACGCCTACTCCATGGGTCTGATTTGCTGAGACACCAACTTCACCTTCCTAACAAGGTTATTTCTGACAGCATGTGTAGATAAACATTAGTTAAAAGAGCTTGAAACATTTGAGTTGGTTATACAGGGCGAGGAAAACAGAATCAAACTTTTCAGGTCCATACTGCTGTTTTATTGTTCTCTTTGGCAATGTTAAGTTCATCTCTTCGTTTTTATTAATATATTCTGACGAGCTGTGAAAACCCCACTGGTTTCACATACTTTTATAATACTACTTTGAACTAAGAAGGGTTTTTGTATCCATCTAGGTACATAATGGCAACAATCATGCACTCTTAGTGCTCTCAAGAATGGAAAAATGACACAAAGCAGTCATTCTGCTGGTGGGGAATACCCCACCGAGGAGATGTAATGAACTAACTACGAAAACAAGCAGGAGATGGGTGGTTTTGTATGTCTATTTGGAACCTTCAACCTGTCTCTTCTCAATTTATATTGTGAAAGTCTTGATTAAAAAATAATCTCTCCTTATTTCCACATATTAAGGTATCTTGTTCATACAGGAAATAAATTTTAAAAAATAAATTTGCTTCCACATTTAATGAAGTACTGGTTGCTTCCTAGTTAAATACAGAAAGTAACTTGCACTTTTACAACATAGGCAGCACTTCTGAGGGCAGTTTTACACAGACGTAGTAGTAGCTTATTCTTTCTGTTGCTTTGTGCTTCATTCTTAAAATAGGAATATAAAACACATGAGTTGGTGATACAGAAACAAAGCAGTAGAAAAGATGCCCCTTAATGCCTACAGAACTGTTTTAAGCTATTCTGGAGAAGCGTAAAGTTGCTCGTTTACTTGTTCTTTGTGTTGTAGGTGCAGCTCAAAAGAAGATGATGGCTACCAGAAGACATGAACAAAGGTTTCTGACCTATAAAAGATATGAAAAATACTCTTCATGTAGTTCTGTCTTAATCTTTTGGTTTCCAGCATTCCAATTTAGAATTGATTAGCGCTGCTGCCGTACTGACAATTCCCGAAACGTACTTACTGTATTAGAATTTGTTACATAGATGTGTTTGTTTCGTTTCTGGTTGAAGAGGTGTTTTATTGTGATTAAGTGTAGGTAAATAGGCATTACTATTTAAATGCAGTTTTCTTAAAATGATAGAATGATCAGCACAAAACCTATGAAATTTAGGAAAAAATCTGCCACTCTATTGGTTAAAATACATGTGCTTTAACTAGTAAATATTTAAGCAGATGATGCACTTTAACTTCAGCAGGTTCGTTACTTATTTTCATTCTGTCAAACTTTATTGTCGACACAGAAACTAGCTGACAGGACAAGTGGATTCAAGTCCTCTGTCCAGTATCGGCTTCAGCTGATACTTCTTGTTGGCAACAACAGGAAATCTCTAGTTCGGGCTTCAAAAGCCTCTGGAACTGAGGACTTTTTGATGCTGTTCAGCAGCCTCTGCAGTTTTAGTCAGTACCTGTCCCAGTAGCTTCTGGTCCCTGGGGAGAGCAGAGTCGCTGCTAGTGCCGCTGCAGTCAGCTGAATCCCGGTGGCGGCAGCTCAGTGCAAACAGAACAGCTGCGCAACAGCAGTTTTGTGTTGAACCATTTCTCGGCTAATCTGAGAGGGAGGATAATTAATCTTTTCCTCCTGGACATGAAGGTGTCATTTGTGCCTTCACCTGAGGTCCTGCATATAGAAAGTTTGGCTAAGTCTATGGTGCTTTCTCACGGTGACAAGGAGCTTCACATTTAACATGCGTAGGCTGCCAAGCGCTCAGAAAAACCACGATGCCAGCCCTATGCAGTTAGGATATGTTTCTATTACTTCGGTGTATACTACCATAATTTAAAAATTAAAAACTCTTCAAGAGTTTTTGATAGAATATAATGATTCCTTTAAAACCTTTTTAATAATACTTTATCTCCATACATAGGGTGAGTGGCATTAAACCTGTGAAGAACCTCTGTGTGTATACTGACCCGTACGCAGAAGGCAGACCAGTCTGTGATACTGCTGGAGATAGAGCGATCGCCTACAGTATGTGTAACGTTGTAACTCGGGTGGAGGAGGTTGGGAAGTGGTAGTTGCTTGAAACGAATAAAGTACGCTTAAAACTTGCTCGTGTCCTGTCTTCTCTTGTGTTTGCAGATGTCGTGCTGCAAAGCTGCTAAATAGATGAACAATTTTTAAATGCTCTAGAACCAAAGTATAGTTCTTTGAGTGCGGTTGTGCGCTTGGGTGTCAGAGGCGTTAATCTGTGCAAAAATCTTCTCGAATATGTGTAAAGTGGAGCCATTGTCATTTGCTAAGTTGCCTCTCCTGGTTTTGGAAACCCCGTCAGTATGAACTGGCCTGGGGGATGAAAGAATTATGTTGTGTTACAGTGAAGAGAACCAGATATGTCTGTAGGTCAATCTTTATAAGAAAAAAACTTGAGGCTAGTCAAATGGGAGAAGCAGCATGGTGAAGTGGGATGGAGTATGGATTTTCATTTCTTAACTTGTAACTTATGTATCAAATTATTAATTATATTCATTACATTATGTGGGTACAGAAGCAAAACTACCAAATACATCTCTGAGACTTTCATGTCTCAGTTTTGTTCATCTAAATACTTAAATAACTGAAACTTAATTTAAACTTGTGACAAACAATTACTTTCTCTAAATGAAAAACTTGGCCCTTCCCTCCCTGCTACACTTTTGAATTCTTCATTCTCTCAATTATTTCCTCATCAGTGCTGATTTTAATGATTGTGGCCCAGATCTGTCTATAAAATAGGTACAAGCTAATTATTCATGAAATAGTGAAAACGTGAGGAATATTTACAAAGGTTCAGTGTTCAGTTTAATTAGAAATAATGTAAAGCTACTTATGGCCAGGTAGAAATAAATAGGTCATAACCCAGAAAGTAGATACTGATACGGTCACTGTCTGCTTTGTAGCAGTTCCCAGTTACTTTTCAAGTGAGTGTGTGACAAATGTGGCTTTATGTTCTTGTAAAAGGAACCTAGGAGGGGGTAACTGAGGACAACTGAGGTACACCCTGTTAAGAGAAGGGGACTGATAGTTGCTACCAGGAAAAATAGGCAAAGCAAGCCCGTAGGGCTTTGAAAAGAAACAGAGTGGGTGAAGGAGGTTACTGGGCACACGAAGGCAGCTGCAGCCATGCCACAGTGAAGAACGCTTGGCTCTTCTGCTCTGCCACCAGCTGCCTTCCCTCCGAGAGCAAGGACAGAGCACCAGCACCTGGGGCCTGCGGGGCCCTCGTACTGAGCTGTCTCTGCGTTCCCAGGGGGCAAACCAGCCCTCCTCTTCAGAAAAGCACGTGCCCCCATTCCCAGTAACATGTCAAAAGCCTTAATCCTGTATTGTTACAGGAAATGGATCTTTTCATAGACTTAGTTAAACTGTCTCTTCTATGTGTTCTACAAGTCTTCAAAAGCCTATTTAGACCTGCAGCTACAACAGACTGTCCCTTGGGGTAGACAGATTTATCTGCTACGTTACTGGGCAGAAGTACAGTTTCATAGAGAGAGGACGCAGGTGAATTTCTGCGTTGAGGGAAAGACTGGCAACCTGAAGTCACCCACTAAGCAGAATAAATGGTTTTGACATCCTGCTGAGCCACCCTTCTA